TTATGGTCTCTTGTCGGGGCGCCTCTAATACCCCGAAACAGGACCACGACCATGACCTAAATCCAAATCAGAACCCGAAAGCAAATCCGTACCCGAACCCGAAGCCCGACCCGAATCCAAATCCTAATCTGGACTCCATTCCCAACTCGTACCCAAATTATCCTTAACTGAAGCCATGGATCTGGTTAGGTTAGGGTAGTATAGGGTTAGAGTTTGGCTGTTAGTGAATTCGGTTAAGGTTCAGTTTGGTTAAGGATAGCTTGATTTTAGTTAAGGGTCATTTCGGTTAAAGTTACGTTAATTTAAGTTTGGTTAGCGAGTTTAGTTAGGGCTAGGAGGTGTTAAAGTTAGGTGTGGAGTTGGTTAGGTTAGGGGGTGATTAACGAGTGCAAGATGTGTGTGTGTGTGTGTACAAGCATCACGTGTCAAGATGTGTATATCCGTATAAACATCAGATGTATATAGATAATACAAGCAAATACAAACACACTGCAAAGATACAAACAGTGTATACAATGGCGTCTGTTGTTCTCTATCTTTCGCATTACTTCTCGTCTTTATTCTCACGCTTTTCTCTGTTTTAATAAAAAACAGTGAAAATGTTGGAGAGAGAGAGAGAGAGAGAGAGAGAGAGAGAGAGAGAGACACTCACGCTATAACTTACTTGAACTTAATTCTACAAACTCTCAAGTGTTTTTACTGAGAGAAAGTTCAATTTTGGACGAAAGTTAGAGAGTTGAGGTGAAAGTTGGCCGCTTCTTCCTCAAGGTACCAGCTGGTCACCATCTGCAGTGTGCGTGTTGACCAGCTGGGCACCACATGGCACCATCAGGCAGTATCTAGTGTACGTTGGCACCTTCTGCAGTGATGTACAAGTTGTGCACCACCTGTAGTGTTGACCAGCTGTGCACCACCTGTAGTATTGACCAGCTGTGCACCACCTGTAGTATTGACCAGCTGTGCACCACCTGTAGTGATTTACTAGCTGTGCACCGCCTGTAGTATTGACCAGCTGTGCACCACCTGTAGTGATTTACTAGCTGTGCACCGCCTGTAGTATTGACCAGCTGTGCACCACCTGTAGTGATTTACTAGCTGTGCACCGCCTGTAAGTATTGACCAGCTGTGCACCACCTGTAGTGATTTACTAGCTGTGCACCGCCTGTAAGTATTGACCAGCTGTGCACCACCTGTAGTGATTTACTAGCTGTGCACCGCCTGTAAGTATTGACCAGCTGTGCACCACCTGTAGTGATTTACTAGCTGTGCACCGCCTGTAAGTATTGACCAGCTGTGCACCACCTGTAGTGATTTACTAGCTGTGCACCGCCTGTAAGTATTGACCAGCTGTGCACCACCTGTAGTGATTTACTAGCTGTGCACCGCCTGTAAGTATTGACCAGCTGTGCACCACATGCATTGTTTTATCAACTGTTCACCATCTGTAGTGTTGACCAGCTGTGCACCACATGCATTGTTTTATCAACTGTTCACCATCTGTAGTGTTGACCAGCTGTGCACCACCAGGCACTATCGCATCTTCCTCCACGCACCACCAACGTTCACTCTTCCTTAATTATCCAGCTTTCCGGGACATTAATCCTCTCCTTATTTCCTCTTTCGTAATGTCTTTTCCTTCCTCCTGTTTCATCCTTGCTCTTATTTCCTTCTTTCGTCTATTCCATTCGTCCTTCTACCTCTTCCTTTTATTCTCCTCTTCCTTTCCTTCGCCATCGTCTCTCTCCCTCTTCCATCTTTCTCTTCCATCTATTTTTCCCTCTCTATTCTACCTCTCCTTTCTCTCTCCCTCTTCCGTCTCTCTTTTCCATCCTTCCCATCATCTATTCCTTAAGACTTGCCTTCAATTCCTTTCCGTCCTAAACCTTTCTTAACGAGTATCCTGCCACCCAAAGCTGACCTCTCACACACACACACACACACACACACACACACACACACACACACACACACACACACACACACACACACACACACACACACACACACACACACACACACACACACACACACACACACACCAAACACACACACACACAGATTAACTCCCGTCTTCCCCTCCCCCACCACCCCACACAGAGAGACAGTCGGGACAGCAGTAAGGTCTTGTGTCGCTATCTCGCCCCTTGACTTATAGAGCCATTCGGTACAGCTGAGATGGCAAAAGTGGACATCCATCCTCCCCTGAGTTATTCCTCCTTGGCGAAAATTACGGTTGGGGGATGTGTCAGGGATATAAAGTATGAAGGATGGTCAGCCCTGGGCAGTGTAGGATATAAATCGTAATAGGACTCCAAATACAACGTAAACTTTGTGAACCGTCTAGTAGGATTAGTAACGCTCAAGATTCCCGAATTCTCAAAAAGTCCCTGGGTGGGAGGTGAAGATTTACTCGTAACTGGGGAAGCAAGAACGTATCAGACTGGTTGACTTTAGCTAGGTTACTACGATGGATTCTTAAAGGTTCTTATTGTCGGATTTCCTCGTAAATTGAGAACCAACAAAGTATCTGACTGACTTCAGCCACGACACTACGATGGATTCTCAAAAGTTGTATTTTAAGATTTCCTCATAACTGGTGGCGTAAGAATGCAACTACAGTAGCTACAACACAAAGACGATTCCTACACGTTTCAGAATCCATCTCTGTGTTGTATCTTATTTCAACTTGATAGTAACGTTGTTGAATCTTCAGTTACGAGGAAAATTTAAACAACGAACCTTTGTGAATCCCGGTTGTGGATAGGCTACAGGAACTTGTGGCGGTGTTGTGGTTAGGCTAGGTAAAGTTGTCGTGTGTTGTGGTTAGGCTAGGTTGAGGTGGTGTTGTGGTTAAGTTGTGGTGGTGTTGTGGTTAAGTTGTAGTGGTGTTGTGGTTAGGTTAGGTTGTAGTGGTGTTGTGGTTAAGTTGTAGTGGTGTTGTGGTTAGGTTAGGTTGAGGTGGTGTTGTGGTTAAGTTGTAGTGGTGTTGTGGTTGGGTTAGGTTGAGGTGGCGTTGTGGTTAAGTTGTAGTGGTGTTGTGGTTAGGTTAGGTTGTGGTGGTGTTGTGGTTAAGTTGTAGTGGTGTTGTGGTTAGGTTAGGTTGTGGTGTTGTTGTGGTTAGGGGTAATGGATAGTGACTAAGAGGGGTCGTTTACTGGGTGCGATAAATATTGTGAATATATTTGAATATTAAATGAGGAGGCCAAGTAATTAAGGTCACCTGTGGGGCGTAAATATGGCAGGTGTGTGGTGAGGCAGGTGTGTAGTGACGCAGGTGTGTGGTGAGGTAGATGTGTGAGGACGTAGATGTGTGATGAGGGAGGTGTGTGGTGACGTAGATGTGTGATGAGGCAGGTGTGTGGTAACGTAGATGTGTGATGAGGCAGGTGTGTGGTGAGACAGGTGTGTGGTGACGCAGGTGTGTGGTGAGGCAGGTATGTGGTGAGGCAGGTATGTGGTGAGGTAGGTGTGTGATGAAGCAGGTATGTGGTGAGGCAAGTGTGTGGTGAGGCAGGTATGAGGTGAGGTAGGTATGTGATGAGGCAGGTATGTGGTGACGCAGGTGTGTGGTGAGGTGGGTATGTGGTGGGGAGGCAGGTGTGTGGTGGGGTAGGTATGTGATGGGGGCAGGTATGTGGTGAGGCAGGTATGTGGTGAGGTAGGTATGTGATGAAGCAGGTATGTGGTGAGGCAGGTGTGTGGTGACGCAGGTGTGTGGTGAGGTAGGTATGTGATGAAGCAGGTGTGTGGTGAGGCAGGTATGTGGTGACAGGCGTGTGGTGAGGCAGGTGTGTGGTGACGCAAGTGTATGGTGAGGTAGGTGTGTAGATGTGGCACCACGCTGATTCCAACGCTGACACACCTGTATATTCCTTTAACCTTGTATTACTACGTGTTTTCTTAAGTCCTTGCCAAAGCCTCTACAACTCACCAGCTAAGACGCTTAATTACGTAATTTTTACCTGTGCGTTTCTGGCTAAATAAACACTTAAGAGTTTTATGAAAAATCTGTTTTATGTGGAAGTGTGGAGGTGATGTGGACAGGGGGATGGGGGTATGGAGGTGGTGTGGAGAAGGGTTAGGTGGAGAGGAGGTGGTATGGTGGAGGTGGAAGAGGCGCTCAGCAGGTCAGAAGTCACACCTTTGTATCGTCAAGGCATTGAGGTTCACCGCCCGACACCTTCTGCATCCCAATAACTTTCGTCCACGATTTAAATGTTTCCCGAAAACCTCCAATCCAAGAAACACCTGAACGATCACTATCTTCAGCACCTGAGTGTAGTATTTCGACTCTTAGGACTAAATATTTTCCCCAGGCTACCGTGGGAAGTGATGGCGACGGATTACTGACTCCTCAACATAACAGGTCCAGATTTTCCAAGATTTTTGACGATAAAAATAAATCTTTTTTAAATGGGAATGAGAGAAAGCTTCCAGTTAAGGTATAGTTATAGGGTTGGTTTATGAACCTAACCTAACCTAACCATGAAAGAACACATTAAAAAAGTTATTATCAAGCTAGAAAAAAGATAGATAAAAATATACAAAATGGCTTCAAAATTACGCCAAGACTCTAGATATATATATATATATATATTTTTTTTTTTGCGCCATTTACGAGATATTGTTTGCACACACACACACACACACACACACACACACACACACACACACACACACACACACACACGTCAGAAACAGTAAAACACTCATATTTCACCTTCAGCTGCGAACTGTCACTGCCGTAGCATCTCAATATACATTACTCACAACCACTGTAATGTGACAGGAGAGAATGATGTGCTGTGTGGTGCTGTGTAGTGCTGTGTGTGGTGCTGTGTAGTGCTGTGTGGTGCTGTGTAGTGCTGTGTAGTGCTGTGTAGTGCTGTGTGGTGCTGTGTGGTGCTGTGTGGTGATGTATAAAGGGATACCCAAGACAGGATACACGAGGCAGAATACAGCAGGATACACATGGCATAATACAGCAAGATACACAAGGCATGATACAGCAGGATACACAAGACAGGATACAGCAGGATACACAAGACAGGGTACAGCAAGATACACAAGGCATGATACAGCAGGATACACAAGACAGGATACAGCAGGATACACAAGACAGGGTACAGCAAGATACACAAGGCATGATACAGCAGGATACACAAGGCATGATACAACAAGATACACAAGGCATGATACAGCAGGATACACAAGGCATGATACAACAAGATACACAAGGCATGATACAACAAGATACACAAGGCATGATACAGCAAGATACACAAGGCATGATACAGCAAGATACACAAGGCATGATACAGCAGGATACACAAGGCATGATACAGCAGGATACACAAGACAGGATACAGCAGGATACACAAGACAGGGTATAGCAAGATACACAAGGCATGATACAGCAGGATACACAAGACAGGATACAGCGATACACAAGGCATGATACAACAAGATACACAAGGCATGATACAGCAGGATACACAAGACAGGATACAGCAGGATACACAAGACAGGGTATAGCAAGATACACAAGGCATGATACAGCAGGATACACAAGACAGGATACAGCAAGATACACAAGGCATGATACAACAAGATACACAAGGCATGATACAACAAGATACACAAGGCATGATACAGCAAGATACACAAGGCATGATACAGCAAGATACACAAGGCATGATACAACAAGATACACAAGGCATGATACAGCAGGATACACAAGGCATGATACAGCAGATCTAGACAAACGAGCGCCACTCTGCCGTCTCTTATCTCTTCAACAATAAATCGTGAGATAATTGAAAAACACAAGACGACCACCACACCTAAATTACTGTGGTGGTAGTGGCGGTAGTGATGGTGGTAGTGATGATGATAGTAGTATTGTTGGTGGTAGTGGTGGTGGTAGTGATAGTGGTGGTGGTAGTGGTGGTGGTGGTGGTAGTGATAGTGGTGGTGGATGGTGGTAGTGATAGTGGTGGTGAATTGGTGATAGTGATAGTGGTGGTGAATGGTGGTAGTGATAGTGGTGGTGAATGGTGGTAGTGATAGTGGTGGTGAATTGGTGATAGTGATAGTGGTGGTGAATGGTGGTAGTGATAGTGGTGGTGAATGGTGGTAGTGATAGTGGTGGTGTAGTGGTAGTGGTGGTAGTGGTGGTAGTGGTGGTGGTGGTGGTGGTAGTGGTGGTGGTAATGGTGGTAGTGGTGGTAGTGATGGTAGTAGTGGTAGTGGTGGTAGAAATAAACAATAATAAAGCTCATTAGTTTTATACATCATAATTATGTCTTGTACACAAACGATAAATAAAACGAAGAATAATAAGTTAATTGCTGTTATTGATGGTGTTGTTATTGTTATTTATTGTATTTGTTTTCATTATTTTCGTAGTTGTTGTTGTTGTTGTGGTTGAAAGCTACCCAGCAAACAACCACTGGACTCACTATACTAAAGCATCACACACACACACACACACACACGAGACGGTATACCTTGATCATTACAGCACAACTCACTGAGGTCACGAAGGTCACGAAGGTCAGGTCACGGAGGTTGTAAAGGTCACTCGGCCACTGCAAAATTTCTAGATTTAATTTCCGTCTCCAGCATACGCACCACTTGTTGTGTTATTGTTCTGTTTTTGTTTTGTCTTTGTGATGGTAGCTCGTGTTTGTTTCTTGTTCTTGTTTCTCTTCTTTTTCTTCTTTCTCTGTCTCCTTTCACCTTCTTTTTCTTCCTTCTGTGTCTTTCTTTCTTCTTTCTCCCAGTCCCCCCCTCTCTTCCCCCTTTTCTACTATTCTCCTCCCATTATGCTATTCCCCTCTTTCTCCCCTCTCCCCATCATCCTACCTCTCCTTAATTCATCTCTTCCCTCTTCCCATCTTCCTACTCCCCTCCCTAATCCTGCCATTCTCCTCCCCCACTTTCCCCTTTCTCTCTCTCTCTTTCTCTGTTCTACTCTTTTATGTTTCTCCTTGATAAAGTCTCATTTTTTATTTCGGTTTTGCCTTCTTCCCTCTTCTATCTTTTTTCTTTCTTCTTTCGTCTCTTTCTCTTTATCTCTATTTTCGTTTTCTCTCTCTCTCTCTCTCACTCTCTCTGTCTATTTCATCCTGTCTCTTCCACCTGAATCTCTTTTAATTCTCTCTTATCTCTCCTCTCTCACTCCCTCCCTCTCACTCCTGTCTCTCTCCCCCTGCGCCAACAGCTGCTGCAGAGAGAGAGAGAGAGGGAAGGGGTGGAGGGTGATTGGTGAGGGGTGAGAGAGGTGAGAGGTGGTGTAGGGGTGAGCAAAGGAGAGAGAGAGAGAGAGAGAGAGAGAATCACCTTCACACACGCACCACCATCAACATATTCTTGTTTTCATTTTATTATTCCACACACGCTTTTGTTTTTTAAATCCTTTGTTTACCTTGTTTGTTTACGGAGGGAGGGAAGGAGTGAAGCAAACAAACAAACAAACAAACCCCCCACCCCCCCCACCCCCCAAGGTCAAGCACGCAACACAATGAGGAAATGATAAAAAACTCTTGTAATATTTCTTCTTCTTTTTTAATTATATATATTTTTTTCATTATTTCTTTCTATCACTTTTAGTATTTGCTATTTCCTCTTCCTCAGCTAATTTTTATTAAAATTTTCTTTCAATTTCCTCTTTCTATCTACATTATTTTTTTTTCATTTTCTTTTAATTTCATATTTCTTATAATTATCACAAGGTGGGAGAGGTCATTTAGACATTCATTAATTATCACCTGTCATTAGTTAAATTACCTGCATGACGTGAGACCTTGACCCCGGTATAAAAGAGTATGAATTTTCCTTACATATATTTATCAGGATTATATTTCATCACGTAAATGTTTCTATATAAAAGCGAGTTCATTTTATAACTGCAGGAGAAAGATAGTGAAACCTCCATATAACGGATTTATCTCTCCATATAGCGGATTTCTCTCTTTATATAACGGACTCTCACCAAATAACCCATTAGATTGGGGGTTTCATATCTAACAGACCCTCGATATAACGGACTTTCCTCTTCATAGCGTCCGTTAAATAAAGTGTTCACTGTGTATGAAAACCGAGAATTCTCAAAAGCATAAAAAGGATAATTGAAAGGCGAAGAAAGAGAAAGATAGATAAAGACAAAATTAACCAAGAGAGAGAGAGAGAGAGAGAGAGAGAGAGAGAGAGAGAGAGAGAGAGAGAGAGAGAGAGAGAGAGAGAGAGAGAGAGGTAATATAAACTACTGCTGTATAATAGAGGTAATATATTTTGTGGTAAAGAAAGGTAATTGTTGATAAAGAAATGGAAATACAACATCCCCTCTAACCCCAGGCTGTGTTACCCTCAAGTATCCCTCTTTCCTTAGTTCCCCCCATCCATCCTCACCTCCCTCTCTCCTCACACTACCCTCCCTCTCCCTCTCACTACCTCTCCCTTCACACCTCACCTCCCATATTCATCTCCTCACCTCCCGGACACCATTAATTACGGGTTGTGTCCCAGATTGGTCGTATCTCAGAGGAGAGGATCTGTTCTTTTATTCTCTTCTTTTCTTTTTTATCTTTATATTTCTCTCTTTCTTTCTTTTCATTCTCTTCCACCTCCCTCCTCCCTCCACTTTACCCCCCTCTACCCGGTATTGCTTAGATATGTAAATTAAGTTATATTGTTGGAGCTCAAGTTTCTTAGTCAAGTTTGTCTCCGACGATCAAGATGAATGACGTAGACCGAGGAATCTTACCTGTCTATACTATATATTATACCTATTGAGCTCACCTGAAGATTAATTGTCCTCATGTTACCTGGGGGAGGGGGGTTAGGTTAGGTTAGATGAGGTCTGGTGAGGTGAGGTTAGGTTAGGTTAGAGTGGTAATTTTACGGTAATCATCACTACCCTCTATGTAAATCAACTTAAGTGAGATATTCTATTTCCCTATTATGAATTTACGAGAAACTATTATTATTCAGTTTTCTATTTGAATTTCAGATAATTACTGAACTTACCTGAGATAATTTCTTTTACTTGTGTTTGAAATGTACCCCCAAAAATCATCTTTCAGGTTCTACTTAAAATAAGTGATAATTAACGCTAAGTAAATCAAGTTACTTAAGAAGTTTTTTTTTACCTGCGTCTGAAAATTAAAAAATATAAAATCTTTCGCCTTCTTATTAAAATTTTTGTTGGTAGTTAACAAAGTTTACGTCAACGCTTCAAAAAGTTTCAGGTAAGTAAAGAATATTGCTTTGTTAGTAGAGAGAGAGAGAGAGAGAGAGAGAGAGAGAGAGAGAGAGAGAGAGAGAGAGAGAGAGAGAGAGAGAGAGAGAGAGAGAGCATTACATTCTACAACATAAACACTATATCGCCGATGGATGGAAGCGATCGCCCATGGAAGGTTATGCACAACTTCCAAGAATAAATTAATATATAACTTTTCAGCCAATGTTCAAAAGGATCCAGTGGGGTCAAGGAGGATCCAGGAAGGTCTAGGGAAGAACCAGGGAGGTACAGGAGGATTTAGGGAGGGTCAAGGAGGATCAAGGAAGGTCCTGTGCCCCTGTTGAGTTAGAGGCACCTGAGATTAATTTCGATTAGGTTTGGTTAGGTACTTTGATTTAAGTAGGTTAGGTTAAGTTAGTTTAAGTTAAGTTAGGTTTGGCCATATCATAGGTCCGGGTTCATTATAATTTAGACTCCTGAATAAGACGATTACAAGACCTGTACCTGCTGTTGCTGTACCTTACAAGACCTCTAACTGCTGTTGCTGTACCTTACAAGACCTCTAACTGCTGTTGCTGTACCTTACAAGACAACAGCTGACGAGGTACAGTAAAAGGCTCACTGTGAGTATGTGTGGGAGCGTCTTGAGAGGATGGCTTTATTTCTAACACTCGGATCAACCAAATCCTCAAGACAATGACGTAGGTGAAGGAGAGACTAGGTGAAGGAGAGACTAGGTGAAGGAGAGAGTAGGTGAAGGAGAGACTAAATTAGAAGGAGAGACTAGGTGAAGGAGAGACTAGGTGAAGTTAATTGGAGGTGACGGTGACAGGCAGTGAGACAGGGAGAGAGTGAAGGTGGGGAGGTGAGACATGGTGAGGGACACAATTAGACAGGGAGTGAATGATGATGAGAGACGATGGGGGAAGTGAGAGATGGCAAGGTAGAGGGAGATATTGACAATAATCGGGAGAGATGAAAGAGACATGTTCCCCATTCCTCCAGTTCTCTCTCCCTCTCACGTTTCACTTTTGTTTCTCCTTTCCCTCTCTCACTCATTGCATGTATATAGTCATCTCCCTCTCTCTCACTCTCTCTTTTTCTCTCGCTGTATACATCTAATATCGCCTCTCTCTCTCTCTCTCTCTCTCTCTCTCTACCAATCACCTCAGATTAAGAGATTGTGAGCCAAATCCTTCCCTGACTATAAGTTCCTCAACACTCAATCAATATTAATGTAATTATTTTGTTATGAATGACGTCATTTGTTGATAAATCGCTAACCTTATTGGCCTAATAAAGTTACCTGTCTAGTCTGGTGACCTAATGACCGATTGTGGTTGGTGGTTAGTGTGTGTGTGTGTGTGTGTGTGTGTGTGTGTGTGTGTGTGTGTGTTATTGTGTGTGTGTGTGTAATAATAATATGTATGTATAATAGTCTACGGTTTATTGAAGAGCAGCGTAGAAGGCTGAAAATATACAGTTACATATTTGGGGAATGGGTTACGAATTACAA